ACTGCTGCTTCGTAGCAGTTCAGAGGTGCGAATCAATGTGCACAGGCATCCAGTCTAGGCGGCGCCAGTTCAGCCATTAACGAACAAAGAAGTTTCCAGGCTGCCAGAGAACTCGGTCTAACGACATCTACTTGATAACAACTGAAAACGCTGCAAAAATTCTCGTTCACGGGACTCTGAGCATTGCCTTCCCTCCACAGTGAAATATGGTTGGCCATGGGCGATTATTGAGGAGAGCCGCTGCTGCTGTCTGCGTCACATCCAAATCGTCCACTGTCGGGCTAGCCGCGCCGCCTTGAACCAGATGCGACTTGATCTGGACGCAGACCCCGCCGCGCGCTCACCCCTATATTCGTGAACGCTGGTCCTCATCGGTCCGGTTGCTAGTGCAGATGTTGCCACGGTTTCTTTCATGAGAAAGTTTGCGTGTGGCTGTTGTTGCAGTCTGGCCTGATTGTAGGACGGATAACGAGTCGGATTGACCCACCTTCCTATCCCAGGTTTTTCTGACCTGGAGCTTATTATGGTTATTAGGCGACAGCAGGCAGGCCGGAGATTTCCATCCCAGTTGTCCTTGTCTTCGTCGGTAATATTTCAGGTTTTCTTTGAGGGCTCGAGATGTGGGAGTTGAAAGGAAATTAAAACGGTGTCGTCGGTGAACACGATTTTTCGCATTGTTTTGATTTCCTAACCTCCGTCGGCGTGAGGGCCTGACACTTTGGCTTTGCGCTCCAGCGCGTCTTCCGAGATCAGATGTCAATCAGGCCTTTGTTCCGGCAAGCAAGTCCACTTCCGCTCGGTCACTACTCACAGAATCTTGAGCTCATTTCCACGGCCATAAACTCCGTAGATATCCCTCCGCCTGCCCAGAATGTTTAACGCCACTTATCCCAAAACAAGTCCTCCCAGCGAGCACTGCTGGTGAGTGCGAATTCCCTGATCACAGTGGCGCAGTTGTTATGGACAGTTGTTAGACAGAATTTTCCCCTGTCGTAGTCACTAGCCTCCGGCGGATCTGACCAGAATGTTTGGTCCAAGCAACTGCCCGCTATCGGGAGGATTCCCCGTAACTTGCGAATTCTAAGATGGGCATTTCCCCACCCACAGCTCCGGTACACCAGTTTTGTGTTCTGGGATTGCGCCGGCCGGCGCGACGAGTGATTACGGCGAGCGTACATGATGTCCTGGCGTTGGTTTGGCCTGTGGCCTCGGAGGCAACTGCTTTTTCGCATTACTGAACCTGTTCGGTTCACGGTTGCCTATTCTTTGGGTCTGAGAGCTTGTTTATTTCACAGCCGATTTCCGTTGATGGCCCATTCCAACACTTGTTATTGCGCCGGAGAGACCGCCGGTAGGCGTACCGTGTCCTCTAGGGTTGCCTGCGGTCCTGTTCCGGCATTTTGAACTTTTTTAGAAGTCGCCACCTTGCTGGCCTTTTTGTGTTGTGACAGTTAATGCCCAGTTTTAGACGCCTAGTCAACTGGCACACTTCTTTTTCCTGCGAAGTTGCCATTAAATGGAGTCCTTTTCACGAAAAATTTCCTCCGGTCGCGCAGGCCTCTTAGTAAGCCTGTAAAAAGGCTGTACTCGAGTTACTTGTTTCTAATCCAAAGCACCCCGATCCTATGCAAATATACCGCTCTTTGCATTAATTGTCCCAGGCCCTTGTCCAAAGCAGATTTTATGTCAGCTTAGAAGCTACTAGTGATCTTCTCAACAAACTCCAGCATCAAATCTGACGTCTTCTAGCCTCACAGTCTGATTGATCATGAGGTTCCCCTGCCCTTCTTGAGTTCTAAGTCGAAATTGCAGTGGCAGAAACGCGACATCCCACCACTCAGATGGGATTTTAGATATTCCCTATCGCGGCCGAAAGGACACAAGCCGCATAGTTCAATGATGGAAGGGTAATATTCGGTTTCGAAAAACTTTTCCGATTCCCGAATAATTTTGAATCCGCTCTGCCGTCACACTTGCATTCAGGGTTTCCAAACTACAAGCCATGTATTTTCGGCGTACGGAAAACCACACCTTTCTCTACGGTATTGAGAGGAGACCATATGGGGTTCATAAAATTTAGCATTGGATTTGATCCATATTGTCAACTTTACAAGCCACATTGGTAAATGCAGACAACGTTTTATGAACGGCCATTTCACGGTATTTAAAAGTCTCACAATTAGAAACCTTTTTTAAAACCGAATTATGTCCCTCCTTCGAGTATACAATTGAAAGAAGGCGTAATTTTCTACCGAATGAGCGAAAGAATGAATATTTTTGTGGGTGTTTTCCATGAAATATTATTGGACGTTTAGGGGGCATCGAAAATCAGTGAGAAAAATGCATGCCACTTAAGTAGTCATTTTTTACAGAGTGTGCTTTTTTGCATACAGCCGGAAGGAAGTTCGTTCGAAAGGTCACTGAAGTATTATAGAATTATACTGCGGGCTGACTAGTCTTACAACCCCACTTAATTGATCTTTTCGAAACTAAAACGCATTTTGGTTGACAGTTCATGAACTATCCCACCTGCTGTACTTTAGAGAGCCCCGAGTTCTAGCTCCTTTCTCTGATGGAACCGAGGGACTTTCAGACTTAGTCGTGCTTTTGCCTTGATCTTTGTCTCCTGCCCTTTTTTTCTATTCTGATCCTTTTTTGAAATGATGAGTCCTGTAGCCTAGCCTCTGCACGTCGGCGTTTTGCGTCTTACAACTGTTTTTTTTTTAGCTCCTTGTCTGATCGACAGATAGTACTTTAAGACAAATGGAAATTGTGCATGCTTTTGCCTTTATCGCTGTCTCCTTTTTTGAAATGATGAGTCCTGGAGCCTGGCCTCTGCTGCACGTCGGCGTTTTGCGTCTCACAACTGTTTTTTTTTAGCTCCATGTCTGATAATATTCTAAGAAAAATGGAGATTGCGCATCGATGGGCCAGGGAATCGTGCTGCTTCACCTTTTCTTGTGCCTCAACTCGTAGGCGAATCGACTAGTCCCTTTTTTTACCATACACGTCAACAGAGCTCGCACCGTGGAAGCTTGACGCGGTTGCTCGAGTCCGGCTCAAGACGATTCCCACAGACGCAAAAACCATGATCTCACTCTGTACGGGTTAAAACTTCTGATAGGGCGGATTGTGACATTTCAGGTGGTCGTTCATCGTGCCTTTTATCGCTGTGCATATCTCGGCATCGAGATTGTTCCTTTTGGTATGATTACGGACTGCGCCCCGCGTCTATAATCTCGGGTTTTGCCCTGCCATCTCAGTAGAGAAACCGCTTTGATTTCCGCACTTTCGTCCGGCATAGTGGTCCTGGTAATTCAGCGGACAGTTTTCCCCACGCGAATGCTCCAGTTGGCGGTTCGATCCCCGTCCCCGCCTGCACGCTTTCCGTCTGTCCAACTTCCCTGTCTTTCATAGTCGGCCATAGGAAATGTCTTCAGAGTCCTGAGTGCTAACCACTACACCATGGCGCCACGCTTGGCCGCCCCTTAATAATAAATAACAGCCAAAATGGTTTAGGAAATCAAAGCGGCCAGTTAGTTGGCGCAGCCGATTACTCTGGAAGGATTTTGATGGGTCACAGGCAAAGTTTTAATCTACTTTCGAATAAGCGTCATGTGAGGATCACACAACGTCAGCTTGGTGAGTTGATTGGGTGATTGACGAGTTTGTAGGCACCTGTGATTGGCTGTCCTGGATGCTGCCCGTGCGCGTGCTTTGGCCGCTCGGGAGCCGTGATCACGTGAGTAGCGTGTACGTGTCAGAGGCGGATTGCCTAAGGCAGTGCATTTTCACCGACTAGGTTACAGGCGGTGCTCGCCAGACGCCCCTTGTGGCTCGGTCTAGAGCCCTCGCAGACGGCCACATAGCGACCCCTAAACTGTACAGAGATGGGGCCACCGAATGGACGAGAAACATTGAAGTGACTGTTTTTGACTCGTCGACCGGTCATATCCAACCCTCTATATTCCAGTAGTAACCTGGGAAAATTCAGGCACCACCGAGATTTGAACTCGGGTCGCAGGATTCAGAGTCCTGAGTGCTAACCACTACACCATGGCGCCACGCCTGGCCGTCCCTTAATAATAAATAACAGCCAAAATGGTTTAGAAAATGAGAGCGGCGAGTTAGTCGACGTAGACGATTATTCTGGAAGAATTTTGATGGGTCATAGACAAAGTTTGAATCTATTTTCTCTATTGGAGTCACCGTCCCATTTAATTGGGACAAAGGCTGTGCATAAAGAACTTCCCGCGTACGGACGAGGGAGTTGACCTATCGTGATCAACGAGCACTGCCGCTGTCTGGATCGTGCAATGGTGACTGCCGCTTAAATGAAGCTGCTGTGAGGCGAAATTTTGCGACATCCACGTGCTTAAATAGAAAAATAGCATTATGAGGACTGAGCGTGGGTGTAGGCGCAGTGACTAAGGAGCACTATGTACTGATGAACCGGAGGTCGAAATTGTATTACGGATTTCACATACGGGAGGGTTGCAATAAAGCCGCATTAGGTAAGATGTGGTTTGGTAGCCCCACCTGATGGGCACAATACTGTTGGTGCTGTGGTTAAGGATTAAGGTTAGGGGTTTGGGTTTAGGATTTGGTGTCATAGTTAGGGGGTTAGGGCAACTATTTCCCAACCGCTCAAAGTACAACCGTGCATTACCACTGGCTTTTCTTTGGCATGCAATTACTTGATTTCGTCGTCTGTGCATTCCCCGGGCCAACCTGTAAAACCCCTATTACCACCGGTCCCGCATTAGAGGTGACTGGGATTTGTTTACTGCAGGTGGGGCTACATAACCACATCCGACTAGGAAATGTCCTCATTGGTAACACCATGACCTATGTCAAGCGAGGTCTGTTTATATATATGCCAATTCGCGGAGATTTGTCGTTTTACCAGCCATTTTGGACTGAGGGGGCGGCGGCGACAGCTGAAAGCACGCTCGTATCCTAGTCGGAGGTGCTCGGATTTCTCCACTACGTCAAGCTTTCCAAGTCTCTCTCTCTCTCTGCACCAACCTAAGGCCTCGATTGTCTGGTTTTTCGCTTTTAAGAAGTTTCATGCTAATTACGCTCCTTTCGACCATCACATTTCCGCCTTATTGTGCCGTGTCAGTCGCTTTCTTCTGCCCTAACAACCCGAGGTTCGAACTCTGACGGACGCGACAGCCGTCATCCTGTACAGTTCGGCGCCTTAAGACTTACTAGACTTCGGGTTCGTCGCTCCTCGGTGTGCCGCTGATACTGTTTTTACGCCTGCTGATCGCGCGCGTGTGTGTTCACGTATGCGCTCGCAAGTGACCTTGACTGCAGTCACACACACACACACACATGCGTAAACACGAGCCCTTGTGAGGCAAGGCCCGAGCCAATGGTCCCTAGCCCACATGTCGCGGCTTTCGTATTGAGGTGTCGGAGTATTTGGTTGTCTGGGTGTGTGGCACCGCAGATGGTTGGCAGGTAGCAAGCCGGGAATGTCCATTTGGTGTCATTTCCCAATTATCGATTGCCCAACACTATGCGACCGTACTAAGGTACCTCCGCATGCTAGACCCCAAGCCGCTCCTTTTGGGGAGTAACGGCGGCTCGTGCTCTTCGATGTCGCTAATTCTGTATAGGATAATTTTCTCCTGCTTCTGATGTGATAGTGGGCCACCTAGCCGACCCGAACGTCTTACATGGGAACCCTGCATGTGTGATGAGACCTGACAAGCTCGGTCCAACCGTCACCGTTGTCAAGGCGAGCACCCAGGGCGATGTCGACTTATTGTCAGTTGCGATCCGGGTTTTCAACTGGTTGACCTTGCGCTGCTTCCACCAAGGCAACTGCTCTGTATTAGATGCATCAGTACTGGACAGACAGGACGAACGAAGGGCTATGGACTGCCGGTAAGATGTGGTTTGCTAGCCCCACCTGATGGACACAATGCTGTTGGGGTTGGGGTTAAGGATTAGGGTGTGGGGTTATGGTTAGGGTTAGGGGTCAGGGTTTAGGATTAGAGGTTACAGTTAGGGGTTAGGGTTAGGATTAGGGGTTAGCGCAACTATTTCTCAACCATTCAAAGTACAGCAGCGCTTTACTACTGACTTTTCTTTTTCATGAAATTACGTGACTTCGTCGCCTGTGCATTCCCTGGGCCAACCTGTAAAAACCCCCCTATTACCACCGGTCTCCCGTATTAAAAGTGACTGGGTTTGTTTACTTCAGGTGGGGCTGCATAACCACATCCGACCGGCCCGCCTTTTTGAACCAATCGCCGTCCACCTATTTTGCAGTGGAATCGTCAAAAAATTCCCCAGTTCTCATTTTTCTTCCACATCGACACAGTTCCCGGTACACGACCATGACATATCATAAAAAAACAAGCCAGTGGGGTTGGGTACTTGTGCTTTTTTTCGAAAACCCTACCCTCCACACCGTTGTGTTTGTATGCCCCCCATAAACACAACCGTTCCCTTCATACTACAGCAATCACACGGCACAAGTAAGACTCTTTTACTCTTTTTCACATACTCCACTTTTCCTCCGTTGAAAGACCTCCCATCCGTAAAAGTCCTATTACCACCACCCCGTACTACAGGTGGCCTAACGCCATATTTCGGCCGCTTCCGACTGAGGCCGGCAAGATGGAGAAATTAGGCTTTACAATCACGAGAGGTTCTCTCGGAGAGACCATGTGGCGAGCCAGTGCGCAAGCGATCAAAACTGCCGTCATTTCTGGGCCGTTGACCACTTGGTCGTCTAAAGCACGGCATACACCTCCGCATTGCCAACGCGTGCGAAGTCAGTCTGGTTTAAGCGGCATGACAGCACTGGTCGACCTCAGTCTCTATTCCCTCCGTCATCATGCACCAGTGACAAGTCTAATCTAAGCCTACTGTAGATGAAATTAGGCTCACTGGGCTACCGGCAGACAACCCCAATTTACACGTGCCACAAGGCGCTTTGGTTATTCCAACTGCACGAGAGGTATACTCCACACACGCGCACACACACACCTTCACCGGGGGGTGGGGAGCCACTCAGGGCACCCCTGCCCCCAGGGGGACTTAGCCGCAATACCGAGCACTGCTTCATGACGCCATAAGTGAAAACAGAGTCTAGGTGGGAATGGTGCGGAATGGACACTTTGTTACGGCTACTAATCCAGCTGGATATGGCGCCAAACTAGACACCTCACAAACACTCCCACCTTGGCGTACTCCTGTGACTTGTGACCATTTGATAGGTAACTGAAATACCAGACCTGGGCTCTGTCAGGTGTGATCCGCGCCTGCTTACTCCTCAAGCCCGAGGGCCTGCTTATTCCGCGTCCAATCCTTGCTGGGGGTCATCCCACTGTCCGCCACTTGTGGACGCGTCCAAGTCCCTGCCGCCTAGGATTTCAGAGGGCGAAGTTTCTAGACCAGTTTTTTGCGTGTTCTTTACGCCTCCATGTCAGTTATTACACATGTTACATGGGCTGTCAGAATGTCTGCGAAAGGTTCCTGTTGCAGGCCTAGTAAAACTACTTATGCGGAGGCAGCGTGTAAATGTCTCATTGACGTCCTCCCCACGGATCCCCTCCTCCTATTCCTCTCCCGCCCCCTCTTCTCAGTCCGATCTCCAGTCGCTTTCATGGCACGCGTAAACTATACGACACCATTGAGGCTGGTTTCAATCCAGTTGGCTTGGGCATTAACACCGGGGGCCACTTTGACATATTTCAACCGGTTGGAGTTGCGTCTGTGCTGAAAGTAGTACAAGGCCGTGCAGAAGAGGGCAGGACCCCCGCCTTCACTTGTTGAGGAAGTGGCGGAAACAGCCAGTGCCAACTTTACAGAATTTGGCATTCTAAGGTGAGGATAAACACACGCGCACAGGTTGTTTCGAATGCAAAGTCCCAAACGCCGGTCAGAGTCCAAGCACGCTCTCTGTGCCTTGCGTACGTCCTGTTCGCGCCTGGCATGCAGTTAATCCGGCACCTGTTTTGGCGTCAACATTTTTTGACTTGAAAAAGCCCTCGCATACTCCATCCCTCCCCTGTGCTGCTGCTGCTGTCCGTGCTGTCTTGTTTACTGCACTCTGAGTGGTTCGTCCTAAGCGTTGGCAATGTTTACTCTGGTGAGCCAGTGTGCCTGTCCTCCCAGGGGGAAGGATGTAGCGCAAATACACATAATGCTGAGCCGGGATTACTCTTGCCAAATATTTTGACTCACCGCGAACTCATGACACGTCTGTCGACTTATAATTGTGCGCCTGTCATGCCCGACGTTGGTCGCCTGCACCATATTATGTTTACGGCCTAAGCGGTGATCAACAAGGTGGTTTTGTAGTCCTTGTTAAGTCGGATTGGTGAGCGTCCAGTTGGCCTTTCCTTGCAGCCACAGCGTTGTTCTCACTGTGGTTTTTTGACTGGACTGATCGGTACGGATGAGTGGAGTTCAGATGGACTGCGACCGGGTGTGAGCGGGAGTTATGTGAACCCAGGTCTCACAGTACCGCACGTCGAATCCACAGATGTCACGATGTGCGCAAATGTAGATCAGGTTAGCCTTTTCGGTATTCCTTGACGGCGTGTCGACAATGTTGATGGCGTTGGATCGCGGGATCGAGCCCCAGGTGTTCCACACTTCGGGGTTTGGGTTTGACTGGCTGACGACGGCTAATAAGCCAGAAATGGCCATTCCAGTCTCCCGTGTCTTTGTCGGTAATACCTATATCATGCGCCGCTCTGTGGCTGCTAGTTAGGCTCGAGAGAGAGCCCGTAAGTCACAACGGGACGAGTGCCTTCCATAGAAACGATCGGTGAGCGCCCCTCTAGTAGAAGTTCTACTGATGTGCACCAGTAGAGACTGTATACGCTGTGCGATAAATGTTAAAAAGCTTCAACCCTTAAGTCTAGCCTTGACCACTAATATTACAGTTAGATATCACTAACGTTAGCTTTATGAGTAGGCTAGGCGTGAGGCTTAGGGAATTGACCAGTTTTAACGTTAATATTGCTATCGAAGTCATGTTCCCCTTACCGCAATCTGCTACCGGTCAAACCGTAAGGAAACATGCCTTAATAGAGTAGTCAGGTCATTCTTCGGTATAACGACTAGGTGGGGGTCCACATACGATACCGCCGCCGATATCTGTTTTCCCTTATTACGAGTTGTTATGCGACCGTCCGCGAGGGCTCTAGAATGCGGCCGTCAGGCACAACTAGACGAGCACCTTCGTCTTGTAACTAGGTCCTGTGAACAGCTCTCTCACTCACGTAAGTTGATATTCCTATCCCCAACTGACAGGGTAACGGATGCTTGAATTAGTGATAGGACGTTTGATTCAACGCGCAAGGACCGAAGAGTGCGAGTTTGCAGTCCTGGGTTTGGGATCCGGCTGATCGACTGACGATGGCTAATAAGGCAGAACTCCACGCCCTAACCCCAACCGTGCACCTTATGTATGCCGGCCTACTTTTCAGTGACGTGATGCGCACTAGAATTAAGGGGTCATGGACAGTAAATTTCACGCCCAACTGGATATTGTCAGCAGCTAAGACTCCGGTCCCGCCCAATGGTCGTCTGGTCTTCAGTTCTACGATCGCGCATCACATCCTGCAATGCTAACCATGTGTAGAAATGGTTAAGTCGGCCTTTTATGGTGAATTATCGAAGTCAGCTATGCTGTTTTGCCATTGATTTCGGCATAAGACCGTGCCAGACGGTGCCTCCTAACACTGATTGGATCTTCCCGTGAGTGGAAGGAGAACCAAATGGCCAAATGCACAAGACCTCCGCGCACACCTGGTCTCCCTCTCCCAGCCTATTCAGGCTCTTTTCCTCTGCTATAAGGAACACTCCGGCAGCTCCCATCTCATTTTGCCTACCAGTCAAAGCGGTTGCGGGCGACCGTGACTGTCGCATTTATCCAACCTTCTTGGAAGGTAGAATGACCACTTTGCCTGGCTGGGTACCCGTCTGTGACCGTCAACCGTTAAAAGTAGCCACTCCCTCTGAGCGCTCTATACACCAATGGATTTTGAGAGAGAGAGAGGAAATGCGCTTTATTTTGAAATCGTAAGTTCAAAATTTTCAGCAAAAAAATTGGCTCCATTCACTGTGGGTAGTAAATAAGTTAAGAGATTATTCAACAGTCAAAGAAACGATTATTATGGGGATAGTTCAAGTCTGAGCTTCTGTATTTCTGTCTCTTCGCACGTAAGATAGCGCGCTAGGAATGGCAATACAGAGGCTCGATAAGCCGATGTGCGACAGGGTATAAGACGGAAGTTGCGGCGCATCGGGCGGGAAGATTTGGCAGCCATAAGATCGGAATGTAGGGGATGGGCAACGTCATCTAGAATTTGACCAGCAAATTGCTTGACCGCATTGAAGTGTCGTTGTAAGATTGTGTCAACTAAAAAAATATGAGAAACGCCAGCAGCAGAAGAGAGCATGCGAAGGATTCGTTTCAAAATTAAAAGATCCTTTTTTAACAGAGCAGGAAAAACGACAGGAGAACAGTATAGGATAAGAGGAAGAATGCAGGCATCAATGAATCGCCAGACTAAGGGTTGAGGTGTGTAGTAGGAACGCAAACGACGAATGTAGTAAAGGAGTTTACGAACTTTAATAAATATGGACTCAATATGGAGGGAAAAAGAAAGATTTGAGGACAAAGTAACGCCGAGATACCTGAAAGAGGATACCTCATTAGGAAGAATGTCAGAGGAATCAGGGTTAGGAGAGGGCCGCAGTCGAAAAATACACTGAACGGATTTTTGGTTGTTAATTAGGAGACCATTTTCCTCCGACCACTCTAGGACATGGTTTAGGCCATCCTTTAGAGACCGGAGGTGTGTCTGACTTTTGAGAGGGTGTCCAACAACCACATCGTCAGCATACTTGATCAGAAGACAGTCATTAGGGGACCTGAGATCATCAGTGTGGAGGGAGAAAAGGTGAGGGGATAGAATGGAACCTTGAAGAACACCGCAGTCATTGGGATAGACCAGACAGGACCGTTTACGTCTTGCATCGTGTGCCAATGATAAGACCCCGATTTAGCCGACCTCAGGTCAGTGCAGTGACCGATTTTGCGTAAAAACCCTTTTCATTCCCAACTACACGCGTTTTTGATCTTCGTTTAGGCGTGACGGAAGTGCATTGTTAGTGTTAAACGCCCAGTATTTGGACATCTGTATGGCGTTCTGGTCAGATCCACAACGTCGGTGGATAGCCTCTTGCGTGCGCGTGTTCACCTTGACCGTCCGCCTCACCCCACCACATGTTTCGATGGTTTGACCGCCGCCGCAAGCACGATGTCACTTTTTGGCGGCGGCGCCGCCGGCAATATAGGCGGAGTTAGAACACTTTTCGCGCCCCCCCCCCCACCCTAAAAGTTCCCCGATGTTGGTTTTAACTGTAGGGAACCGGCATTCTCTCTCATCCGTGCCTAACTTGCGTCTCTTGACCGCCATATCAGCCCCCCCCCCCCTCTTCTTATGACTTTCATTCACAGAGCAGTCACGCCGAGACGACCTCGAGGCCCTGGGCCATATGTTCCTCTACTTCCTCCGCGGCAGTCTGCCCTGGCAGGGGCTCAAGGCGGACAATCTGCGGGAACGCTACCAGAAGATTGGTGACACAAAGCGCGCCACCCCAATTGAGGTCCTGTGCCAAGGCTATCCAGGTAACGGATTCGATTTTCTTAAAGCAAAGGTCTTCATGTGTAGCGTTGGAGCTGTCCAACTTGCGCGCGCTACCCCAAGCTTTAAGCCCACAAACAAATGGTCTTCTTTGGAGGAGAAGACCTGAAGTATACCCACACCTCCCTTACAATCTATGCTCAAATTGTTGCTACTTGTTTTGGTTGGGTAGGCGTCTGCATACCGCTATCAACCTCAGTAGTATGTTCACCGCATTCATTTCCATCGACTGCAGCGGTTCAGCCGATGTTCGGCTATCTAGGCTTAATAGGATACATTTGAAAGCGTGCTCGCCTTACTAGGAGACTTCCAGGCGCACCGAAGTCGTCCATCCTACATCACCCGGAACTTTTTTCCAACAGGTAGACGACAGCCTTTGAAAAAAAAGAACATAAGATGATATATGAGCTATCATATGACGACTGCCAAATGAAAACCGAAAGTGCGGAGGAGAAATTTACCACGAATGGCGTAATTCACTTCATTACGCGGTGAAGGCGAACGTGTGCAGATAGATGAGTCATGATTTCGCAGCAACAATCTTTCTACGCCCTACAGTATGTCAGGATGCTTATAGGCAGTATCTGCCACCTCCCACGCAAGTGGGAAGTCCGCATCTCGACTCGGTCCCCATGCGGCTTCGGCTGCACGGGTGACTTGAGTCCGAGACTATCCCGACTCCGGCCTCTCTCGTCTCCGGTCTTCTTGACTCTGTCTTGACACCGGGTTTGGGCGAGGGAGGAGGAGAGAGTGTAGGTAGATGCTACGCAAGTCTACCGGCACGATAAACCCCTGCGTAAGTCACCGTCCCTGCTCCCATTGCTGCTGAAACTGTGGGGCACACGGTGGACATCCTCGAAACCGATGGTCGAACTGTCAGGCAGTTATCAGTGATGGTCGCTGTTGAATGCGAATTCCACTTTTCCCTGTCCATTTACGCATTATACAAGTTCTGTTTCTGATATAACTCCTCTCAGGTGGGTTTTCATCAATGGACCTGAATGTCACTCTGAAAAGTCACGCCATCGCCTAATCCGGCCTCTGGGCATCCGATTAAATCTGAAAGCCCCAGTAACAAAGTGCACCTTATTGTTTGTGGTGTTTTGTCATCAGATCCGGCACTTTCCGAACTGTCCAACCAGTCAAACTTCAGCAGTTCTTACAGCTGGGACATGACTGATTGAAGAGAGAGAGACACGGTTGTTGGGACAAGAGCATTATTAGCCCGACGTTTCGGACTCTAGCTCAAATCCATCATCAGAGACAAAAGCCAATACGGGTGGTTCATGCACAAGGGGCTGCAGTATTTGTAGGATGCAGTTACCATGCTAACGCATACCTATGAATATTCACGGCTCGCCCTTCATCAGGGATCGTTGCACTTGGTGTGCTGGAGAATTCTGTAGCCCCTTGTGCATGAACCACCCGTATCTGCTTTTGTCTCTGATGATGGATTCGAGCAGGAATCCGAGACGTCGGGCTAATAAAGCTCTTGTCCCATCGATCGTGTCCCTTTCATCAAGACCGCTTCCCGGGACTCGTCTCTTCGCTTCTATTGACATGACTAATTGTTGTTGACTGAGTCTGAATGCGGGGGTGGGGAGGGGACGAGAAGGAGTGATTTAAAGTTGTAGGTCGATGGTAGGTGATTGAGGAGACCTAGAGCTGGATTGGATGGAATAGAGCCGAGGCGCAGTTATCGGGAATACGGTGTCGAACCAGGGTGGCCATTGCGCATCGAAAAATCGGTTCGTCGCCTCTGCTCTGGCCAGGACATGTCGCCCCACAGGGATGTCTCATGTAGAACTCGGACAGTCTACGGCGCATTCGAAAGGCCGGATCCGTATTCTGGAATGGATTTCGAAATGGTCCTCACGTCCTTCCGTATTGACCAGCCAAGCCGACGAGTGTTCCTCAGCTCTCCTCCGCGACCGTTGGATGGTTCGACTTACAGTCATTGATCAGTTTCATGGAATTTAACCTGGTTTATAGAATGCGTCTTCAATTAGAGATGGTTACCCAAGTGAGGTTGTAATATTGGTTACAGTGCAGCATAACCCCAAGGTATTTCCGTTACGCCAAGATACCGGCTTTAAAAGGAGCTTTTTCCACTGCTTGCAAAAACCTTTGAAAAATATCTTGTAGCCATTGGGTAGAAAATCACTTTTTCAAATTTGCGTACTCGAAAAAGGGGTATCTTGTGATTTTTTAATGTTTTTTAGTTCCCTAATTATTTTGAGCGTGACCTGCCGTTCCATTTGTGTCCATAAATCCTCATACGTTCCATGAAAGAAGATGCATGCATGCTTCTATACCATGAACAATTTGCGACTTTGTAGGTCATTACGGACCTTCCATTTGCACGATACCTAACCGAAATGAAAACAGATTAATGAGCTCGATTCCATGTAGATTTACAAGTTTAAAAGAAGGCGAAGGCACGATCACTGGGACAGTAGATTTATTTGTCTGAGCTTTTGAACTCGAACTGGAGTTCATAAGCAGAGTCTGCTTGAGTGCAGCAAATTGTGAATATTTATATCGCTCGTCCTTGAGGGGCAGGGGGGGGGGAGTACGTTCGTGGCTAGGTAGGGTTTGTGCCGCCTGGTCCACGATGGTCCCCCGGCGTGGTGACGCCGTTCGTACTTCGCGACGATGTGAGCTGCGCCACCTGGCTACGTCGGCGGAGTGCGTGATAACACGCAGGCAAATCGATGTGTCTGTTGATAGAGTTGGTGTCCGACACCCACGCCTTCCAGAATTCTCGCCCCGTCTTGTCGCCGGCTCGCGCCAATATCCGCGTGTTGGCGAAGTCGAACTCATGGCTTTCCTACCGTACATAAAGTATGTGTCCGAGGCTACAGAACGCATTGCGTCAGAGCTAGGCGTGGGCATCCCTCATCGTCCGAACGGCCACCGACTGCCGCAGGATGAACTTGACAGTTGAGCATATGCCTTTTTCTATCCCAGCTGTCTGCAGAGTACAGTTGTTTGTTTCTTTATGTTGATCTTTTGATAGGCCAGCTTTATCCTCTCTAGAAATGGCCCATTTGGCTGTGTATACAGTTAGCTAGAATTCTGAAATGCAGCATAATCTCAAAATTTTTCAGTCGCGCCAGGATGTGGGCTTTTTAC